GCATCGATACAACAAATGTGCTTTACACAATTGTGTGTGTGGATTGTGATGAGCGTTGTATGAACCCCTAATAAAATGATTAATAAAAAAAGAGAAAACCAAAATTGACACCATAGAGCAATAAATTGAAGTTGTCAAGATTTCATCTCATTTAGATCCATAATCAACATTCATGGAAGTAGCAGTCAAGAGATGAGCCATGCATTGCTTTGAGTAAATCTGCTACACAAGACTTCTTTAAGAAGAACAGGTCTGGATTATAGCCTTGTCAATTTAGAAGTTAGGTGACATTGAGAAATGTATTTAACCTCTTGAAGCTCAATTTTCTTAGGAAAGTGTGGTGCTGACAGCTATCTTGCCAAGAAATTGAGATATTGAAATGGGCTTTAGAGTATCTGGCAAGCAGTGGAATAGAATAAATAGCTATCGGTTTATTGATACACTGTGATGTAATTGTGCATTTCCTTCTCTGCCATTAGACCTGCAATGTAAACGTCTTGAGTAAAGTGACAGCATGTCTTGGATTTTGTACAACTAAAGCTTACCACAGTACCTGTCGGCCCTCGACACAAGTTTGTTAAATACAAGAATGAATTATGTCTGATACCCAGCTGCCACTACGGACTGCCCTGAAAGAGATCACATTAGAAGATCCTGGATGTAGAGGGAGAGAAATATGAAACAAAACTAAAAACTGCACAACGGCCCAGGCTTACTGCTCAGATAACGACTGGAGAGACCCTGGAGGCAATGGCCCTTAGTTACCCTTCAAGTGGGAACGGACCTCACCACCATGGCGCAGTGTTCAGCCAAATATTAAATCGTTCCTTGTAGGGAACAAGAATACTAGTGAAGTATGCATGCCTTAGAATAAGCAAGCACTTGAGAACTAAAGGGCATCATTTACACAAGGACAACGTTTGGAAGGTTGAGAAGTAAGGAGGGTTGGAAACTGGAAAACAAGGAGGAAGTGGGAAAAGTAATGCGATCCATTGGGGGGATTACCACGAATGAGATGAAACCAAAGTGTGAATGGTTGAATATGAATCTGAAACTATTCTGTAACCTTCTGCCTAATTCACAATAAAATTTTTTACATTCATGAATGAATGAAAAGGAATAAATAACTTTGCAGGCAGCTAAAAGACTAGGGGAGCTGGTGGCATAACTCATTGGGCTGCTCACCACTTGATCAACAATTCGAACCCACCAGCAACTCTCGGAGAAAGATAGGCTTTCTCTTCCTGGAAGGATTCACAGCCTTGGAAATCCAAAGGGGCCGTTCTGCTCCGTCCGATAGGGTCACTGTGAGTCAGAATCTACTCGATGACAGTGAATTTGGTTTCTAAAGGAAGATTGAATTTGACCACCCAGAGGGATGAGCATTCAGGGTAAATTAAAATAAATTATGTTGACAAACCCAGGCAGACTGTGAGAATTTCAAGCCAAAATCATCTAAAAGGCTTTGACAGGAAGCTAATAAATGTTTCCCATCAAGCCTCGGTAAAGCTCTTGTACCTCCAGGTGGCAACCCAGTGGGCCATGTCTAATAATTATGAATTTCTTAAGCTTCTCCAACAAGATACCAATGCCTTTATACATGTTTTTAAATTTCTGGAGCTATCCAACATGCTGAAGACGCGAAAGGTCTGCAGGAGTTCGGAGCCAGAGGGTGAGAAGAACCATGTCTGTTTTCTCTTTTCTTATGGATGTTACTCTTCTAGCTCTCGTTTCCCACATAATAGAAGTGGTTCTAAAAACATATCAAACATCTATCACTAATTCAGTGGTTCTCTTGTGCTGTAGGCTGTAGGATGGCTGTAGGCCATCCATAAAGATAGCCTGGTTGAGCCATACGTAACCACTGGTATGCTAACTTAAAAGATCTGTGGTTTGAACCCATCAGTGGGTGAAAAGACATGGTGATCAACTCCCATGAAGATAGTCGTTTTGTTGTTGTTGTTAAAAGACATCAAATACGATGCAACAATCGCAACAACGGAACAGAAACACTGCCCATTGCTGCGCCATGTCACGGTCAGAGGCCGTGGTGGGGCCCCTTGTGGTGGTCACTGTGTTAGCCATCTTGCTGGAAGTCTTCCTCTTTGACGTCCTTCTCCAAAGACTCGTCTCTCCTGACAACACGTTCAAAGTATGTACAGTCAAGACTCTCCATTTTTGCCTCCAAAGAATACTTTGACGTGACTTCCTTCAAGACACACTTGTTTGTTCCTATGTCAGCCCACCGTATAAGAAGGCTGGTCATAAGTCTTCCTCCACTTCTTCCTTTAGCCCAGCTTCTCAGATTATTTGCTCAGCTTACAGATTTAATAATTATAGTAAAACACAACTTTCTTGATTTAAAAAAAAAATCACCCAGTAGCCTTTGTTCTGTTCAAATGACTGCCTCTTTGTCTTTGTATAGGTTCTGCATGGGCACAATTAAGTATTCTGGAATTCTCATTCCTCAAAATGCTATCCATAATTCATTGTGGTCCACAGAGTTGAATGTCTTTACATAGTCAGTGAAACACAAGTAAACATGTTGTCTGGAATTCTCTGCTTTCAGTCAAGATCCATCTGACATCGGCAGTGTTATTGCTCACTCCATGTCCTCCTCTGAATCCAGCTGGAAAGTTCGACACCTCCCTGTTGATGTACTGTTTCCACCTGTTTTTAAATTGTCTTCAGCAGAATTTTACTTGCATGGGTTATATATGATATTGTTCCATAACTTCCACATTCTGCGGGATCACATCCTCACCATTCTTATAAATACTGATTTTCTGGTATGTAGTTGATTTGGGCAATGCTGATCTTTACTTAGAGATGGAATGTTCGATAGGAGAATTCAAACAGCAGCCCTCAAACTTGACAGCAACAATAATACCTTTAGCTAAAAGTAACTAGAGGCAAATGGTGAGGTTTAAGTGGCCTTCTAATTTTCCTTCTGTTAAAGTTGATGTTTTCCTCCAGTCATCTCACAATGACTTGGAGACCAATAGTCTTTGATCACTAAAGTAAGAAGCTTGTTATAACTTTTGTGCTAGTACACTTTTATCCCAACCCCACTCCTTTGTGGGTAGGGGAAACATTCTACGTACACTTTAGAAAACCAGTAGCAAGACGGTCATGTAATAGGTACTTGTGGGAAAAAACAATACTGGTTCTGAAGCAGGTGGAAGCCCAGGAGCAATGAATAGCAAATGATCATAATAAATAATAACAGTTAACACATCGTGCTTACTATGTTGCCAAATACTATTCTAAGCCCTGTAGCCCTCAGACTTCAGTGACCCCTATGTTTATGAATTCATCATGTCAGGGTTAAATGCCGAAACGTGTTTGTTGCCCTCATGAAGCTACTGCTATGCCTGTTCTAATGACAAGGACATTTTATTAGAATCTTGCTTCACAGCAATCAATAGAAAATCTAAATCTTCTAATAATGTATGGTATTTTAAGAAACTAACATTTTAGAATTCACATTAAAAATTCTGCTCTTGGTTTTTCAGTATTCTTTTCTTCTCAAAAAGAAAAAGAAATCAAAGATTCTTGACATTGTTGACCTCCATGTCTTAGAAGATAGCTTAGAATAGTAAAATCATGCCTATTGTTTCTTCCATGTAGAACACATAGCCTTGTACCCAGATGCAGTACTAGCATGCATTGGTCGTGTTTTTGTTTACTGATGTTTTGTTTAGCGATTGTGTGTCATACGCATACTTGTACTGATTCTGTGTCATACATAGCCTTGTACCCAGATGCAGTACTAACATGCACTGGCCGTGTTTTTGTTTACTAGTTGTGTGTCTGTCCCCTGGCTTTATGGACTGCCTGATCTCTTTGCACCCTTTGTCTTCGTTCTACTAGAGTGGGAGTTCCAACTCCCTCTCTCTGAAACTAGCCACCAGCTGAAAGGGCATGACGCAGTGACCTCTGAGACCAAGGACGCAGTGCCCTTTCCACAGTGCTTGGCACCTGGGATGTGAAAGTCTTTGAAAATATTCTTTCTGCATGAAATAGAGCTCTCATGTGATCTGAGGTTCAGACAGGAGAAGCAGATCTGTCATTCGACAGGTGAGGCATGTTATGACTGCGAGTTGAGGTGTCACCAGTCAGAGCATTGGAAATGCTTCTGTAACTATGCAGAGTCAAGGCGAGTACATGCAGACCTCAGCTTCCTGCCACTAGATCAAGACGTGAATAAATTTCCTTTTGGGGTGCGTTCATCCACTTTTATTAACTGCTTCTTTTGTGGAAATATAGTAAAGCCAACTAATAAATTCATTAGCAAAGTTAATGTAATAAGCCAGTATCCAAAATTTGTTTGCATTGTTATTTGTGTGCACTAATGATCAGGTGTATGCGAACCTGTAGACTAAATAAAATCTGATTCCGTTATTTTAACATAGTAGACTGTATGCATTTATTTGAGGATTGCTCTTCTGGTTATTTACACTGACTATAATTCAAAAGAAAAATGTTTACAATTTTCAAAGCAGCTTTTTATTTTAATTCCTTATATGGATGAATATTAATTTGCTTATTTTTGAATATTTGTAAACAACCTTTCAGTGGGCACAGTATATATTACATGTCATTATTGATAATCACAGCATCTGCCATTCAGTGCTTACTCTGTTACTTTGTGTTTTTTATACACTGTCTCATTTAATCCTGCAAATGACCGAGGAGATTTGCATTGGTATATTACTAGCTTCACTTTACAGATCAGGAAATTGAAACTTTAGGTTGCTAAGTAACTCTCCCAACACAGCCATTAAGTAGGAAAAGACTAGTATTTAAGTTCAGCTCTGTCTGGCTTCCAGTCTTCTTTTTCTTCTTTTTGTGGCTGTCCTGTGTCAGCACTGAATACCATTATCTACTCGTTTGTGCTGAGTGACGGCTACTATTATCTCTGCTCTTAGTTGTGCAAGAAACCACCTTGTGTTATACACTGCAGTCTCAAACTGGGGATGTGCTCTGTGTTCCCATAGGGTGGAGTGTAACAACTGTGAGATTGGAGACCAGTGTGGGGCCATTATGCATGGCAATGCTGTCACCTTCTGTGAGCCATATGGTCCTAGAGAATTGGTAAGTATATGCTGTGTATGTATACCATTCCCAATGCATTCCTACTGAATTGTGGGTTTTGTTTTTTTGTTTTAGACAATGTAATGCTCTCGTGCAGTACAGGTAAATTTTGAAGTATAATTATATTATGAATTTATACTGTGAGTCCTGTTACAAATACCTCAAAACTTGGAGGGATGATTCATCTATTTCCAAACCATGAGAAACATAATTAATGTTAATAAGCTCTACTTGTATAGATCATTGAAATGGTACGTGTTTTCTTGCATACATATTTACCGTAGAAAGAAATGCTTTGAATGAAAATAATGATTTCTTTTTAAGAAGCCAAATACATTTAATATGAAATTATTAGATTCGTCCTCGATTCTACTTCAATGTACACATTAAATGTATATTACATTAAAAAAACACAAAAAAGGAAACTCACTGCCACCAACTCCATTCTGACTCAGAGCAACCGTACAGGGCAGATTAAAACTTCCCTTTGGGCTTCTGAGACTTTAAATCGTTACCCAGGTAGACAGCCTCATTTTCCTCACATGGAGTTGCTGGCGGATTCAAACCTTCCACCTTGTAGTTAGCACAACACAGTATAGCCTACTGTGCCACCAGGGCCCCTTAGACATATGAAAGTGACAGCAAACTCTTGTGATTAGTCTCAGTCACCACGAGGGAAAAGCAAACGGTGGTGTACTTTTTCACGAGTACTGACCTCAAAGCTAAAGATTAATACTGCCACATATCAATGGCTGAAAGAAAAGCAGAACTTGAGATGCTTAGTCTTCCTTGTGGAACATTTGTTACCCCTTTAATAATTTCCCCAATGGAAAAAATGTATATTAAACAAAGGTAAAAATTATAGCAAAAAAGTGTGCGCATCAGTAAATCTCACTAAATCCAGCACCTATCTTTAGATAACATGATATACATGACCTATTGGTGCGTGCATCAATGTTAAGTTCTAGCGCATGTGACCCGTGTGGTTCAGAGTAGACCTGCACTCAGAGGTCGCTAATGGCAGTGATCTTTCAGTAGTAGATCCTCCGCTTTTCTTCCAAGGAACCTCTGGGTAAATTTAAACTACTGGCCTTGCTGTTAGTAGTTGAGTGCTTAATTGCTTGTGCTAACCTGGAACTCATGTAGAAGAGTGGATGGATGGATGGATGGGTAAATAAATAGAACAAGGCGGTTTCAGAAAAATAATGGAAAGTTCCATGATCTTTTCATTGTTTTTCCACAAACTTTTTGAAGCCTCTTAATAGATAGTTGTGACAGAAAGCCCATTGCTGTGCAGTAGATGTCAACGCATAGCGGTCCTGTAGGACAGAGTAGAACGCCTCCTTAAGATTCCCAGTGTTAAAAATCTCTATGGAATCAAACTGCTACACTTTTCCTTTTGCAGGGCGGCTGGTGAGTTAGAACTGCTCCACATCATATGTGTGCCTGTGTGTGTGCGCGCGCGCATTTGTCGACAGACAAGTCCCCTATTTGAAATGGCATAGTATTTGCATATGACTGACACATATCCTCCCATATGCTTTAAATCAACTCTCTGAAAAACCAAACCAAACTCACTGCCATCTAATCCCTTCTGTGTCGTTGGGACCCTACACCTAATACAATGTAAATACTACTTAAAGAGTACTTTGTGTTCCCTCGGACTTTGAGGGATTTTTTTGACCACTTAATAGCCTTTTTCTCCTTTGAATATTTTTAATCTGTGCTTAGTTTGAATCCATGAATGCAGAACCTGTGGATGCAGAGGGTTGAGAATAAGTCGAAAGTATTTCTACGAGCGTTCCAGTCCATGCATTCCTGTGTTTAGTCTAAACAAAGCATGTTTCCGCATACCTGTGCATTCGTCATGGCTGCACACACATTCTTTCAGTAGGACGCTTGTTTTAGTTGCCTTGGGATACCTTCCAAACAGGTCCTATCAAAACGGTGACTTCCTAGGGGATCAGCTGGACCAGTAAAGTTCAAGACAGAGAGATCGTCTCAGACATTAAGGGATCTGTTTTGGGGGATTCCAAAGGCGTAATGTTGATGCATTTTCTCAAAGAACACAGGCAATCTCAAGGACTTATTAGGAACAAGTTTTAACAAAATGGAAAACGCCACTGTTAAGAAAAAGGTCAGAAAAGGTGAGCTGAGGAATTGTTTTGCCCACCCCAGCAATGGACCTTCTCATTCTTTGAAGGTCATGAGGGTTGTCTTATGAGGCTTTCCCTGGTAAACCTTATCCCAACTGCCCTACAAGCTTGATCTTACTCCTTCAGGTTTATTTTTGTTCCCCAAATGCAAAGATCAGTGAGAAGGAACACGAGTTGAGTCCCACAGACGCCACGACTGCTTAGCTAAGATGTAAGTTGAAGAGCGCTTACCTCCTCAGGGGAGGGTTCTCCCACTAGCGTGGAATCATTGAGGACTCAGGGTTTCTGAGATTCTAACTCTTTGGGGGAGTAGAAAGCCCAGTCTTTCTCCTGAGGACCCGCAGGTGGTTTCGAACTGCCAGCCACGTGAATTGCAACCCAGTGTGTTAGAGAGTTGGAAGCATTGCCATGAGAGGTGTATAGAAAAACAATGACGTCACATTTTGATTTTTTGTCTTCTTGTTTGTTTAATAATGGTCTACATTCTTTTGTAATGATACTTTTTTACTTACCCTCATACAGAGCTTTGTTCTTAAATTTGTCCTTATTTTATCCTTGCAAGCCACCCAAAATGTCATGTTTGTTTCAAATCATTTTTAAACTTTAGTTCCATATTACTGAGGAAGTAGTAAGAGTGAATGGACACATCACACTAACAACAACAAAACCATTTTGGTTTAAGCCAGATTAGGCAGAAACAGGTTACCCTCGTCTAATGTAAACTGATTATCTTTTGCTTACCAATGATACATTCTTGGATCATATGCAAAATGAAACAGGGACATTCTAAATCAGCAGCAATGGAAACCACTTACCATCAGCATGTGGCTAATGAGACTTTGTTGTGTACGTGCTATGTGTTTCTGGCATGAAGATGACATTCATTCACATACTTGAGAAAGCATATAAGAACAATTGTTAGAGTCTGGCTCAATCCTTTTGTCCTAATACTCCCTTTGCAATATTTCTTGCTTTATTCTGCTTTTCTCCCTTCCCGTTATCCTCCCGCAGCTTCTACATGATGGACTTTGAGTTACAAGTTGTCTTTTTCACCGTTATAAGACACATATTGTGTTTCAAAATTATTAAGTTTTACCGTCATCAAAGACTGGTTTCCACAGTAAAATGTGTAAGGGGTGGGGAGAGGGGAGGGGGAAGATAATACAGAGGATACTAGATAGGCAATTAAAGAATATGTTGTTATCAAAATGTGAAAGCCAATTAATTTTTGCACAGTTCTTATTTTTTGCTGCATGAATACTCCTTTCATAGCAGTAGATATATTTAATTTATTAAAGGTATGAGCATCAGAACATTGATGAATTGAAGTTTTTAGTTGAAATAGGAACACAAACAGAATTAATTAGATGTAAATTAAAATAATAGGTGTTCATAATTCAAGTCTCAGGTGGTGTTACAATATTCCTACAGGCAAATGTAAAGTAAATCATGTTATTCTTTGTAGACGAAAAAAGAAAGGTTTTCTAGTATGTTTTAAATAATGTACTATGACTGTGAATTTATTTTCTATTAACCTGAAAACAAAATTAAAATGTTTTCAATGAAGTTAATTGAGTTTAGAATTCATTTTTATCTGTGGAAGTGCTTAGCAGATTCCTTTTTTTGTTTATATTAATCAATTTTTGGTTTTTATTAATCAATTTTTAATCTAAAAATAAAAAGCCAAAATTCAAATGGCCATAGCATAAAAATGGAAGTGCTAATTTATTGGATCCATATATCAAATTGGAGCTTGTTGCTTTACTATTTCCGTTTATTTCACATTGGCTTCGAAATGCTGAATGGCCCAGTTTCTAGCTGTGTAATTGATGTGATGTTAGCATGTCAACTAAAAAAGGAACATGTTGAAAACATTGATTGTTAGTTTAGGAAAAGAGCACCCATGCAGATTTGCATTCCTATCACATATTTCCCTAAGAAGAATTTATGGTACAGAGTGAAAGGCCACAAAATGAAAACAGTGGAGGTGACATCCCCTTTTTACTCCTTAGCATCTTTTCCAAGTTTCAATGAGACCATACCATCTTTATGCTGTGAAAGCTAAATATGTACTGTACCCAAGCTGTGTGTACGGAAGCCAGATCAATTGAATGAGCGGTGAAGGGCTCGATTATCAGTTTACATTTTTATTTTCATTCAAGTTATTTTCATTCAAGTTCACAGATTTGTACAACTTCAACACAGTCCAGCAAAAACTCTTTCCAGTGAGATCTGATAGAAAGTAATTAGTTATCAGAACTCCACTCTGGAAAAACCTTCATAAATGTCATTTTCTGAATATCAAAAACAAAGGACCTTGGTAGGCTAATGCTCAGCCACCTCTCCCCACCACTGAGGCAATGCCGACTCTTAGTGACCTCACAGGCAGTCACATGGCCGCTGGAGCTGCTGGTGGGCTCGAACTGCTGACACTGTGCTTAGTAGCAGCCCATCACACAGCCCGTCCTGTTAACTCTGCCTGTTAACGTGCCCAAAGGGGAATTTCCCGTCTTGAGAATTTAGCCAGGCAGCTATTTCATTTCAATAAAGGCAAAAGCAGTGAGAGGCAGCAGCTCAGTGAGGGGACCCTGAGCTCATTTGCGAGTGTAAAATGAAGAGGAGTTGATCCGACCACTTCTTTCAGAGCACGTGTGCTGGGAACTTAAAATGTGAATTATTCTCACATGTTTGCAGATGCGTCGTTCGAAAGGTGAATTTAGGCTAACGGAGGATCACCTGGTTTTTAGAATGGGTATGTTCTGGGGACAGTGCAGAATGACGGGCCGCGAAGCAGAGGCCGTGCATTCTCCGGTCCCCCGGCTCCGCCCACGGAAGCTTTCTCTCACCCGGTTCTCAGGCTCGGGCTCGGCAGTTTGGCAACTATTGGGGGTTAAGAGCAATGAGATAGGGGGCCACTATCAGTCAGAATCAATCTGACAGCAATGGGAAATTTGGTAGGGACAAAATGATCAGTCTTTCATGGTGGTACTAAACCTTTATCCAAAGCCCCGTGAGCACGCCTTTATGCTTTAGAATTTCCCATCCAAAGACTTCACTTCGCAGTTTGAAATTACATGTTTGAGCTGAAGAGCAGTAAATAATTGACAACCCCCAAATGTAAATATAGATCAGAGGGCTGTATAGGAGGTGCTTCTTGTTCTTTTCTTTTCTCTTCAAATTTTTTTTCCTAATTGCTGACAAATTCACTCACGAACTCAACAGGAAAAGGAACAGAAACGAAAGCCAGTCGTCCCTTGCCCCTTCGCCTCCCTGATGAAGAGGCATTCAGAATCAATGGTTAGTCCAAGCACACGGTCACCGTCAGTTAGCACCTGTAATGTGGAACCTAACATATTTCCTGCATCTTGCAGTTTGCTGGTGAAGGGCACAGCTATGGGACTCGACCCCACAGGTGGCACAAGCACCGTTTATTGTACCACCAGGATCAGTCTCGCAGACCCTCCAGGATAGTTACTGCATGGACAGTAGTGGGCAAAAAGGGAGGCACACACCACACTTGAGATTCACGTCTCAACCGAATAGTTCCCTTGGCCAATCGTGTGACCTGGTCCGCTGTCACCGGACTCATCTTCATTTGTGAGCTTAGCTCGTGGGAGCTGACAATGTATAGGGATAACTAAAGGTATTTGTGAGACCACAGGAAGCGACTGGAAGATAGCCCATTGTGTCTGCCCCTGTAAGCACGATACCTCCTTTCGATTTGATGGCGTGGAAGTCATGGGAGACATCCCTTAATGTAGCATCGGGGGTCTGGAACCGAGCAATAGATTCATTTAAGATGAAAACCTTAACTCTCATTTTGGTTGAGCTGGCATGGATCAAAGTCACTCTCCTATAAAATAAGTAAATGAAAAAGATAAATTACCGTTCCTCTTTAGAAGAGGGGAAAATATTTAAGAAAATGTTTCATGATTCTTCATGAAACAAAGGGAAAAAGATTGTTTCTGGGTTTGTTTTGATGTCTTGGAAGGATGACTTTTAGGTCCTTGCTTCTATTTACTTTTGGGTAGCAGACTTGTTGAGAAGTGAGTCTCATACAGCTCGTTGGTCCCAGTGCAGAGCTGTGTAACCACTTGGTTACACAGTTGGTCCCAGTATGCAGAGCTGTGTAACCAGTACCACACTGGTCCATAACCGTAAAGAAATGCTGCACCCTTTTAGTTATCATAATTCTATTTCATTTTCACAATGCCTTTCTTCTCCATTTATCCTTATCTTCCAACGTTTGTTTATGACTTTTTATGATTTTTTTACTTAATCATAGGGTGGAGAGGGTCAGATGGGTGAGTGGAGAAATTACTGGTAAATATCTTGAAAGATTGTCAATAGATGCCACTATTGACAGAGCCATGATCAATTTACTGTTAGCGCCTAAATTGGAATCTCACAGCGCGGTTGCTCAGAGTAACATGCATGTGTTCAGATACTGATAAAAATAAACGAATGTAGACATACAACTTTCTGTCACTAGATCTTTGTCTTCCCTCCTTTGCTGCCTTTCATTGCCCTCCCCCCAAACTTACTCCAGTCTCTTTTCCTTCTTTTGTAATTTACCTTTGTATGTTTTTTCTAGATTACCACAGTCCTTAATACAACAACAGCCTCTGTCCTCCAGTTTTCCATTGGTAAGTGTTTTCAGCAATTGCAATACTTTTACTTGGAAATATTTGTTTTACTCGTATTGTACAATCAGGTATATAGTGAGACTAGCTGAGTTATTTAAAACACTTGAAAGAAAGCTGGGTTTTTTAAAAATGACACATTGTGTTCTCTCTCTAGTACATGGTACTAAAGAATGCTATCTGTAACCCACAAGCTCTTAAAACGATTTACACGTGGATTTTGAATATATTGCAGCAGAATTGCCTTTCTGGATTTGTTTTTGCTCATATTACAACTTGAACGAGTTTTCAAGGGGAATGTTGAAGGAAAGAGATGCTGTCTTCTAGATGGGGTCCTGACTCTGTTAATCCTGTTCCCATAACCTGGAAAACTTCCTCATTGCCTCTCGTTGTGACATAGGGCTGTTGGCCCTGGCAGCTGTGCTCCTGGCCTTCATCCTCCAGCCCCCACCATCTTTGTCTGTGAGAGTCGCCATTAGCAAAGGGCAGGTTCACGCAGTAGCCAGTATTCTGATTGCAAGTGTGTGTTCTCACAGCTGGGAGCCCAGTATGGTTGATTGTACCGAAGAGAATTTTCCTTCAAGTCATGTCCTTTTTGTCACTGTTGATTTCCTTATTTTTTGGTTTTATCTTAGATTTATCATTTAACTGTGCTTTTAGAAATCTCCTTTTCAGCTAGCAATTTTATCATCAAAAGTGAAATAATAATATGTCATCATTTTGGAATGAAACAAAAGAGTGAAAAATTGTGATTGTTACTTAGAGATTTCATTGGAGGATTTACATATTGAATTTTGAGAGTAAAATTTCTTGAGACTGAAGAAAAATGTCGTAAGCAAACCATTAGCTGCTTCCTTGTCTGAAGAATAAAGTGCAGTGGGCAGTCCACTCCAGGTTGGTATATGTCATTGCGACAGTGCTCAGGACAGCACCATCCTTTTCACACGGACGGCATGAAGGCGAGACTGGAGCATACGCACAAATCCTAGAGATGTCATAGTGAGGCATATTTATTATGAATTGTTTAATCCACACAATAACCAAATACTGAAATAGCAATGTTATTTAAGTAGCCATTGCTTGTGTAATCAATTCAAAAAATATTTTAAGGATATGTTATAAAAACTGTATGTAGACAGTTCAACATCTTATGTGTGTGTATTAGGAATTCTCTAAACTTATATTAATAAACTCAAAAACTAAACTCACTATTGGTTAGTGATTAGATATTGTCTGTCAGATTCAATGTCACTCCTTAGGAAGTTCTTCGGTGTGTTAAATGTCCATTGCATGGCATCATGATCCAGATTGACATGAGAAAGTTTTTAGAGGGTTCCATCATCATTTATGGGTTCATTGGTGAGTTATGCTCATAATTGTGGACACATAAACCACATTTGGAGAGATGTCTCATCGTCGTGATATTTCCATATTGCTCTTGTAAACATTTTCAACCACATGACGGATGCTGTCCAAAACAGTGCCTGAGAGCTAAATGCCCAGAAACGGCTGTCATTACCAAAGACATCACAAGTAAACTCCACCGTGCCAGTGCTCAGCAGCAGTGCCCTCCTACTTCTTCCTAAAATACATAAATATTGATGTTTATGTTCACATGTTTGTGTACACACATACATATGTATATAGGGCATCTTGAGCAAGTGGATTTTATGCTAAATGAATTTTTATGCATTCTGAAAAGGCAGTTCTAAAGCCTAAAATTTATCATATTATCAATAACTAAATCATCTTGAAAACTGTCACATGATATGCTTAGAAGGTTTCATTTTTCCACCCGAATGAACGATCTCATATCCATTTCTGTGTTGAGGCATCGATCTGCTACAATCCTCACTTGATTCATTAGATTCAACTTATAGGATTTATGGTTATGGCCTTAGGGCCATTTACCCGTTTCCTTTAGATTTCCTCAGGGATAGGAAGAAATTCCGAGATGATGCCCTTGCAAACCAGGATCTCACAGATGCTTCTCAACTCATTAATGTATCAGGCGGGGGTGGGGGTGGGGGGCTGGATCAAAAGGCCACGCTGCCAGAGCCCTGTAGCTGTCGTTTGCTTAACAAAGCCCCACTGAGTATATACTATGTACCCAGCATTGTGTTAAGCTTAACAACTATATTAAGACACCCCCCCCAAAAAAAAAAATCAAGAAAACAGTTATTTCAGCACCTCCTGCTGTAGAAGAAGGTGATGGATACACGTGGGAATGTGAACGCTTTGGAATGTGGTCCGACTATTTTAAACCGAGCTGGGGGATGTGTGCAGATCCTCAGGGCAGTAGGGCCTGGCTAGGTCCTGTGAGTCAACATGTCAGGGAGACTTTTTAAGAGAGTAATCTCTGAAAGGCACCCACAGGTTAATGGAAAGGACCGAGAAAAATTTCCCATGTGAAGAGACAGAGTGAATACAAGCAAAATCAGAGACAGTCACTGAGTACCTGACTATAGCAGAGGGGCTGACTGTGTGACTTTCAGCACTGTCACCTGGAATTATATCCATCTGGAGAGTTCATCGACGTTGGATGAGGGGCGGCTTCTGTCTTTCTTGAGCAATACAGAAATGCAATGAAACTCTTTCTTAAGTCAGACGAACTGGGCAGTTGGCTTAGGGTAGACTCATTTCTTCCTCGATAAAGATCTGCCTTGGCTCATTCATCAAGAATGAACCAAATAGATGTTTGCTCAATTTAGCCCAACTCTCTCTTCAGCTTAATAGGATTCATTAGTCAAATAAAGAGTACGGTATTTAAAGTCGTATGCTCCTGGATAAACAAACCCTGGTACATTCACATAGTGGAATAGTATGGATCCTTTCGAAAACAATGATGAACCTGTCAAACACCCTCAAGACATGGACAAAATTAGAGAACATGATGCTTAGCAAAGTTAGTCAATTTCATAAAGATAAATATTTTATGATTATAAATTATTATAAGGGAAAAATTTTAAATAATAATATTTTTCATACAAAAGACTGCAAGGAGGCCAGGATGGCGTGGGGGAGGAGGAGGAGGACAAGAAGGTGAGAAGGTGAGTGGGAGGGAGGAGCATGCAAGGGAAGAAACACACACACACACACACACACACACACACACACACACACACACGGCGTTCAGTGGGGCACTGTCACCGATTCGAAGAGGTGGTTTATGCAACAACAGTGAACATGCTCTTATTTGAATGTATTACATTCCACAAACAAAAGGGGAAAATTAATTAAACACACACATATACAAACAAGTAAGACAAAAAAATAAAAAAGAAAGTTAAACTTTAAAATTAAAAAGAAAGAGAAGGATTATAGCCTACAAAATCCTCCAGGTTTCTTACCCACCAGCCCTAAACAGTGGTCTCAGTGACTATAAAGGAAGAAAAGTAAAAATGATAATGGCTTGGATTCTTTTGTGACATACAAGTGAGACAAGTTAGAGTTGAATGAACAAACAAACAGAAGTCATACACCTGAAGAACAAATAGTTTGGTTTCAGCAGTAAATCTGTCTTGTCCATTTTAATAGCCTCAGCAGTTGTCAGGGGACAATAATTAGATGTTCATAAGTATTTCTTGGTTCAGTGACAAGCAACCATTACAGAAACATCAAAGCATTATGTAACCAAACAGTTCATAGCGATCAGTCAGACATTCCATGCCTAGGAACTAGGATCTGAGGGTTCTGGGGACCTAGTCAGTGAAAAAGAGGGCCCAGAAGAAAACTGAGAATCACAAATAAACTATGCTTTTAGTTAAACAAGTAGGAAAATGTATATATGCCAAAGTTTTTTATTGAAGAATATAATTATTGAACTAGTAATAGATTAACCATATGAATTATTTGCTCATAATTTAGAGATTTATTACCTGAAAGAAAAATTTGATTTTTGATCTACTAAACATTGAGGGATTTGTGTATGTGCAATCTTTTGGGCCTCTTTTTTGGTTTTACCATCCTGTGACAGAAAAGTAATTCAATCACTAATATATTTACAGATTAATATATAAAAATAGCCTTAGTTCTGAATTATTCTCTTAGAAACTATAACTTGCTACAGAATATCTGAGAAAAATGAAAGCTACTCATTTGGCATAAGTCTATTTTGAATAACAAAAATTGGCACACTTTAAAAGCTGAAGATAATCTTATTGATGGATAGGAAGATTGCTTTATAAAAGAAATCTTTTTTCTTCCCTTAAATAGATATATTGAACAAGATGTCACTTGTAATTGATATTATCTTTCATTCCACATAAGGAAAGCAGCTAGAATTTCCCTTGAGCTTAATGCATAAACATCTTAATTACTCCGAACTTGATTCATTGGAGACACCTACGCTCCTTCTCAACTCTGCTACCACAGAAAATTCTGGGGGAGGAGAAATTGAGCCTCCTGCCCCTTGGTGTGAGTCATGGCTCCTTTCCTCTGTGAATGCACTGGAATCTATTTCTAACTCAGATTCTCTTTTTCCCCAGGAGTCAGTCTACTTGGTAAGTGAGACCGTGGGGCCTGTGTTATGATATCGTGAAAACATGAGCGTCTAGAAGCAAGGGATAATAAAATCTCTGGTGGCTTGCACTCAGAGCAGACACCAATCAAATAAAGGAGTTTAGAAAAGTTTAACAGTAAAATTAGCTTAAATTATATGCTTTCTAAAGTCATATGCATGTTTTATTTGAGCTTAAGACTCTTGGATTTAAAATATATTTGAGCAAGATTTATTTAAGAATTGCTTTTCGGATCTTCAGAAATCTCTATTAACACAAAGAAACTAAAATATTTGTAATATGAAACATTTCTAAATTATCTAAGTTTAATACAACAATAAATAATTTATTTAGGAATATGAATGATTCTTTAGAATTATATAAATAAAAATGGGTAAGATTATATTTCAGATTATTTCACCTCATTCTGGAATTAACCTGTTTCTATTTAGCTAATATGCATTTTAAAAGACTAGATTTTTTTTTTAAAGATCTATTTTTAGG